TCCTTCCTTCCTTCCTTCCTTCCTTCCTTCCTTCCTTCCTTCCTTCCTGTCTTTCTTTTTATTCCCTCCTTTCCTCCTTCCCGGAGTGCTGTGCACACAGCAAACCCACAGCAGAGCCAGCATGGCTGTGACAGTCACTGGATGTGATGTTCTCAAGAGAGACACCAAGAGCATTCTCAGCCCCTCTCCCGAGCAGAGGAAGCGATTGTCCAGGCAGATCTGGGGATTACACAGCTAATCCGAGGCTCAGACCTGAGCCCATGGGTCATTCCCTTTATGTTGAAAGAAGGGGGTCAGGATGGAACCAGGAAGTGAATGTCCTCCTTTTCTCTCTGTAACTGGGTCAAGGGAGAAATAGCCTGGGATGCTGGAGACAGTAGATGCTGGGTAAGGATAATGGCTAACGGAGGGTGAGCGGCAAGATCTCTTGCTCCTTCAGAGCCAGGCCTTGGTGCTCAGCATTTGTCATGTATTATCTCCTTAATCCTCCCATAACCTGGGGCGTAGGAGGGATGAGCCCCTGTTTTCAGAAACAGCCAGACTGCAGCCTGAGGTCTTGTAGGACAGATCTCCCACTCAGTCCCCACCCACCTGCCACACCTGCTTCAGCTGCCCAAGTAACAGCGGGCGTCCACTGCACTGCCACCGACTAGGCACTCTTCTGCAGTGTCCCAGGCTCCAGCTCTTGTCTGTCCTATCTCGTGTCACTATCCAAGGATCCAATCCTCTCTTGCCAAGCCGCCGAGCCAGAAGCCAGGAAGCCAATAAGGACACTTCCCAGGCATAGATCTATTGGACACTGGCCCTGCCTGGTAGCCATGACCTGTGACCCTTCCCTCGGTCACCTGAAATTTGCCAAGCCTCCCTAGGGCCCCCATCCAGTTCCTTCTTTGTAACTATGGAAGGAGGGGAAGTGTTGTCATCTCAGACCCATCCTGCCACTCCCTGTTGCCTCCGGATGCAACCCAAGGCCTCTTGGGCCAACATTTAAAGCTTCCCAGCCTCAACTTCCACTGCTCTGCCCACACCGCTGGGAGGCAGCAGGGATCTGCTGGGCCCTTCATCCTGCTGTTCTTCCAAGGCCTGTGGATTATTTTCTCCCATGTCCCACCCTGGGAGACTTTCTTCAACCTTCCAGACCAGCTTGAGCAGCTACTGTTGTAAGCTTATTCGCCCCTACTTTGGGTTGCCAGCCTTCTCCCCGGGTCATCTGCAAGCCAGGCCCGGCCACAGTTATCTATTCCCACTCGCCCCCGCTGCATTAGCAATGCAGTCTAGATACCCACAGGCCCGGTCACAGGTGGTTTCTAGTGTTTAGTTGCAAGATGCCACTTACAGAATGTATTGTCTCTGCTATAGGATGTTTTCCATGGCTACATGCCAGCTATAAAATGTATTGTCTCCGCTACAGGATGTGTTCCCTGGCTGCAGGCCAGCTATAAAATGTTCTGCCCTAGCTGTCTGATACCTCCAGTGTCCAGCTATGACTACAAAGATTTCCTGCCCTTCTTCTGCCTTCAGACTCCTGACACTATGTCTACCTCTACAGCTCTGAGAGCAGTTTGCTACTCTCTATCCCACAAGAGATAGCTTGTCAGCTTCCAGCTGACATTAAATGCTCCTTTCTTCTATGTGACTGCGTGTCCAAGTGGTTTTCTGGTTTGGGGCTTACAATGGTCACAGTCTAGGGTGACTAGAGCATCATCAGACCTCACTCTTCTCTCATTCTAGCCCAGAACCCAAGGAGATGCTTACACACATGCACACACCCCTCACACATCCCTCCCTCCCCCTTTCTGGGCTTCTGCTACACCTTTCTTAAGTCCAGGCTCTGCTGTGTGAGCAAGTGAGCGATGCTGGAAGCCAATAAATGGGTTACATGGCAATAGATGCCTGGACTGCTAACCAGGCTCAGTGGGCGGGAAGGAGAACACAACTCAGCCTCCTGATTGTCAGGAGCTCGTGACTGAAGCGGGGCCCACTGGGCCAGCATTCCCATGGGACATGTGTGTTTGTGTTCATGGACCACCCCAATCTCTCCTTCAGCCCCCAGCAACTCTAAAGTCTGTCTTCCATTCTCGCCTCTTCCCAGGTCACTAGCTGACCTTACCCCATCTCTTTCCTGGCAAGGTGAGCAACGAGGAATGCCTCTCTTCTGCCCTCAGCTTTCCTTCTCTGGGAGCCTTTGTATCCGGCTGTCCATTGCTCAGGAGCCAGCCTGCAGATCCCTGTGGCAGCAAGCTCTTGAGCTTTAGCACTCTGGGCCTGGTCACAGGCCCTGCAGGTGAATCCAAGGTGGGACAGATATGGACAAAGCCTGAGTCGTGCATTTTCCCAGGGCCTGAGGACATGCTCGGGTGGCGTCTGGCAATATCACCCCCAGCCTGGGGTTTTTATCTTCATGTCCCAATGGGAGACTCAGGCTGTGTCTTTGTGGGCACCCTGTGATCAGGTGTCCAGTCTTCCTCCAGTGTCCATAGATGAGCCAGGGGTTGCTCCTCCCTGTGGGTGATGTCTCTGCCCTTGATCAAGCTGAAAGCATGAGGAAAAGGTATCCAGTAGTGTGGCTGGGGTCCTGTGTCCCCCAGGAAATGAGATAGGTGTATGCAAATGGCCAACGGCCAGACTAAATGTGAAAGGAGAACTCAGGCCTGCAAGCTCCAGCCAGGAGCCCAGGACACCAGCCTCTGACCCACATCAGCCACCCACCCCTGTAGGGTGGGTGAAGGAAGTGAAACAGTATAATATTTAGCGTCAAACTCTACCTGGGCTGGCTTTCAACTTTGATCCTCGGATCTCAGCCTCCTGAGTAGCTAGGATTACGGGCCTGAGCCATCGCTCCCTGAACTTGAAGGCCTCCCTTTGGCAGTGTCTACTGTGGCCACAGGCCCATTCTCCCCAGCTTTTGGGCCATGCTTTCCGCTACTCTATGCTGAACAGCTCCTCAAGCTGTTCAGGCATTTGCTCCAAGTTAGATGCCTTAGCCAAGTGTACTTTGACACCATGAAGGGCCCCAAAGCTGGGTCTCTAGGTGTCAGTCCAGCTGCAGGCATTCCCAGCTCCCCAGCCTAATGTACCTGGGCAGAAGGTCTCAGCCAGGACACAAATGTCCTCTCCTTGATTTCATCCTATTATGATGAGTTCTCTTAGAAATAGAAGGAGAGGAGTTGGCATCTGGATGGGCTCCTGTAACTGCCTCTCTTCAGGCTGATTATCAGGTTCTGGCTTGGGCAATGTTCTACTTCAGAAGTGTCTCTGTCCCTCCAGACGATACCAAGCTCCCAAGTTCCCCTTCCTCAGGTTCCCCTCCAGCCTGGATCTGCTCACATCCACGGCAGTGGATGCCCAGCTCTCAGTTAACCAGGCTGCTTTCTCTCTTTGCCTCTCTCTATCCTTTAGCAGACTGGATGATGGGAGGAGCATTGGAGAGTTCCTAGGATTGGCCAGTTGTGAAAGTAAATTTCATGTGTTAACTTGGCTGAGCTATGGGATGTCCAGATAGCTGGTTAAATATTATTCCTGGGATTACCAGTGAGGACTAACATTTGAGATGGTACCAAGGATGGGCCTTTCCAGGGTGGTGAACAATCCATTGAGGGCCTGAATAGAACAAAAAGGTGGAGGCTGGGTTCACCCTGGCTGCCTGCTCTGGAGTATTGCTGCCTATCATCAGTGCCCCTGAGCTCCAGGCTTCAGCCCAGCCTGGCATCTGCAACATCCACTGAGGCACTAGGTTTCAAGCTCCACCCCTGGCCTTCCTGAGTCTCTAACTGGCAGATAGCACAGTGTGAGACTCCTTAGCTTCCATACTGCCACGAGCCCACAAGCTATTCTAAGTCTGAGTGTGT